CATGGGTGGCAATAACATGCACTGGGTTATGCCATCCCCATTGATCACGCTGCCCAGAAGGAGAGCATGGAAAAGCACTGAAATTACATGCGGTTAGATTAAGTAATTAGAATTTATGCTAAAACAGACATTTGTAAGTGTTTATTTCACTGAATAAAACCCAGGCTGTAAGAACTATTCTGTGAGATTTTAATAATTTCTGCCCTGGTATCGTATTGGGGGTGAAGTTCAAGCTGCGAAGGCTCAGTGACAAATGGCGTCCAAGAGGGCTTTGGGCCACCCATGGAGGTGGGCGTGTGTAGGAGATGCTTTCTGTTCTATTTCAGGGACGGGAAGAAACTGAGCCACAACTTTCTGAGTCAGATAGACTCATCTTAATTCATAGCCTTTCCCCTAAACAATTTACAAACAGCTCAAGAGAACATAACAATGAAGAACCAATGAAAATATAAAAACAGGAAACTTGAGGATTTCTTGCCAAGCAACATTTTGGTGCCAAGAAAGAGGACAGGATTTTAAATGAAGATTGAGGTATTTGGGGAATTGAATACTTAGGAGGAACAGAGACACAACCCAGAGGCAGGCACCCACACATGGGAAGGGAGGCCATAGAGAGATGAGGGTCATGCCAGGGGGCGATGGGAGGACAGAGGGCCCAGACGGCAGTGAGGAGGCCAGGTGTGGAGACAGGAGAGGATGGTTTTGAACTAGAACTGCAGTCCCAAACTTTCCAGAGTGAAATTAGTAAATGAAACCAGAGGCAGAAAGCAATCAGGAGAGCAAACAGAGAGTTGGGGATGGAGATCCACTGCGACGGACCCGCTGAGCTGGGAGTGCAGGCTCTCACAGGCTCGGTGAGGAGGGAGCTGGCGACTCGGGGAGGGGAGCTTGAGAGGCACAGGGTGGAGGCGAGGCCCAGACAAGCTGGTGAGGACCTGGGCAAGGGTCCCGGGCAGATTGCCGAGCCTGCAAGCAAGGACTGTCTGTGACGTCTGAAGGACCCTGAGGAGGCTGGACTAGAAGAGGAGACGTCTGGGCTTAGGACTGTCCTGTTCACATCAAATCAGGCTGAGCTGCAGAGAGTATCTGGGGAGCCAGAGTGTCCTGGGGACATGTCACACAGGTCACCAGTCACCTTGTTGAAGGCAATACGCAGATGGAGAGGAGACAGATGCCTTGAGGATGTCCCTCCCTCTGCTCTCTGCCCCAGCATCCCCAGCTGAAGTTGTTCTCACTCGAAGCACTCAGAGTCTTGAGGACCTTGGAGTTTGAGATTCCGAAAAGACCAGGAGCAGGCACACACGGACCTCCAGCACCCAGGTTCTGGCTAATAAGAGAGCATCCACCAAGGAAACCATGTTCAGACGGAGTGGGGAGGGGAGCACTGGGGCCTGGTGGGAAGATGTGGCAACAGCAGGGCGAGCTGCGTCTGCAAGGCTGCACTAAGGAGGGTTCTCTGGGCTTTGGGCACCTGATACCCTCCTCCTAGAGGCCTCTCCTGCCCCCCACACCCCCCACCCACAGGTCTCTGCTCAGTGCTGGCCCGTAGTTGCTTCCAGCGGTTTCTATTGTCTGGGACCCACGTGTGCAGCCCAGTGCCATTACCTCCTGGGACAGCACATCCCCAAGGACAAGTGTCTTCTGTTTTTCTGCGTCTACCACTTCCACCCACACCCCTCAGCCTTTCCCGCTCTGAGGGACGCTGACATAACAACTTGATGTAGTGTTGAGGCTGAGCCCGTGGGCAGGTTTCACCCCAAATTTAATTTGATTCAATAAATATGTTGGAGGCCAACCACCGGCCAGGTCATGGTGGGTGTGCTGTATGGGTTGTAGAGATCAGGCCCGTGTGTTCCTGCCCTGAGAGTTTGTTTGCAGTGCAACAGGGAGCTGCAGATATGGACAGCACTGCACTGGCTTCTGCCCCCGGGTCTTGAGGCTCCACAGCACGACCCTGCCTCGCCTCTGGCTTCTGGTTTCTTCCTCGCCTGCGCCCCGTCTGGTGCTCTGCGCACTGCACCTCTGTGTCTTTGCTCACACAGTTCCATCTCTGGAACGCCTTTCTCCCTGCCTTCGCTGCTCCCCACTCTCAGCTTCAATACTTTCTCTACCAAAGTCCTTTGGTGCTCAGTTCCAGCACTGCCTCCTCCAGGAACCATTTCCTTGATCACCCAACCAGAAGCGCCATCTTCTGTGGACCCCCACAGCCCTTTGTGGGCCCCCCTGACTCAGTCTCATGTTAACCTCTATGTGCCCTGTCTCCCCAAGCCCTTCGCCTGTTTCACTATCATCTACCACAGAAATAGGGCCTTACTCAACTTGCCATGAATGTCATACAGACCCAGCAAATCAATAGCACAAAGTGGGCTGAGATAGTGTGGACAGCTATGAGCAGCATCTAGGGGTCTTCCCAGAAGAAGTTGCCATCACCTCAGTCTTGTAGAGAGGGCATATCTGAGGGTAGTGGCTGGGCTCCTTCCTCTCCCTGAGACAAGCAGCCCCATTGCCTTGGGGGGATTCCTGCGAGCAATAACAGTGGGTGCTTCCCTGGAGCAGAGAGAAAGGATCTCCTGGAAATCATGTGGGCCCCGGAGCTTGTTGGCCCAACCCCACAGAGCCCTTTGCTGCTCTGTCTGCCTTGGGTGGGCAGCTGGGCTGTGAGGGGAGCTGGAGCTGGTCACGGGACAGGAGGTAGCCTCAGGCAGCAGGTGCATCCTTATCTCCTCTCTATTTTGCTTTTCTCTTTTCTTCCTCCTGTTTCTCTTTTCTCCCCTTTCCCTTTCCCTTCCTTTACACCTGTCCCTTCCTCTCTCTGCTCCTCCCCCCACCTACCCACATGCCTCCTGCCCTCTGCCCTTCCCAGCTCTCCTCGGCCCTGCTGTTCGATGCCCTCTATGCTGTGGTGACTGCGGTGCGGGAGCTGAACCGGAGCCAGGAGATCGGCGTGAAGGCCCTGTCCTGTGGCTCAGCCCAGATCTGGCAGCATGGCACCAGCCTCATGAACTACCTGCGCATGGTGAGGGGGTGGGGCTCGGGGGCCATGCCCAGCCAGCCAGGGGGAGAGTTGCTTCCAAGTCCCTCACTTGCAGGCCTCCTCAGTTATCTCAGCCCAGAGGAAACAGTGACCTGAGGCAGCCCCCTGCCGTGGATCGAGGGTCACCTTTGTTCCCTAACCCCTAAAATCACCGGAATCCATGGCAAGTCTGCTCACAAGATGATGGCCCTGGAGAGCCTCAGGCAGTTCAGGGCCTCCTGGGTCTGGGCTTGGAACCTGAGCCTTGGACTCACAGGTGGTCCCAGCAAAGCTGCACTCAAGGTGGGGGGATGCTGCTGCTGTAGACAGGGACCCCTCAGGCCAACACTTCTGACTCGGTGCTGGTCCCTGATTCTCTCAGCCACGTGTCCTCCCGTGGGTGGATGTGGGTGGATGTGGGTCTCTAGCCCAGGAAGCAGACATCACATCTGGGCGAAGCAGCTTGGATTTTGCATTTGAATCAGGTTGTCCTGACTTGCACTGGGGATGGGGGGTGGGGGCAGGGGCGGGAGGAAGCTGCCCTAGGAACAGCCGAGGGCCAGTAGGAGGGGTTCAGGGGGGTCTGAACTCCAGCTGGCCTCTTGGTGTTGCATTGGTTTAGGCAGCAGCTGTGAGGTCCTTAGGGGTGTGGCATCCTTCTTCCCCTCAAGCCCCAGCCGGTTCTGAATTGGTTCCAGTCATCGCGTTTGTAGCTTCAAAAGCCTGCGGCTGAGAGGTGGACAGGAGAATGGCCTTCTGTCCCCTTTGCGGGGCATGCTGTCAGGCATCCTTAAGCAGCACACACGTGGCCACTGGCTGAGGCCGAGTGGCCCCGGGACCTGTGTGGTGCTGTAACTCACTCTCTCCTGGACAGGTAGAATTGGAAGGTCTCACCGGCCACATTGAATTCAACAGCAAAGGCCAGAGGTCCAACTATGCCTTGAAAATCTTACAGTTCACCAGGAATGGCTTTCGGCAGGTAAGCCTGGCTCCGGCGCCACCGCGGCAGACACCCTCATTGGTCCTCTCACTGTCCCCAGCCTGTTTCTCCTTGGCACTCAGGACTGCCTCCTGCTCTCCATTATCCCCAAGAACAACAGGCTGCCCCTCAGACCAGGCTCCTGGCTGCACTGCTCCCTGCTGCCTGCCCCCAGGTTCAGCCAGTGGGGCCATGGGACGCAGCCCCAGCGAGATACCAAGAAGGAGGCATCATGCTTTGTCATGGGGCAAGGGGAGGTGGGGGCGGGGGCCGTCATGGAAGGAAACAATGCCCGAGCCTTGTCCGCACTTGGATTATTCTCCTCCCTGGATCCTGCCCTGACCCTGGAACCGTGTTAGAGCCCAAGTGCTTGCTAGTGAGGCACAGATGGAATCCCATGGGGACGGAGGACCTTGTTTAGCTTTGGGAGGGTCGGCCAGTTCTCCCCTGTCAGCTCCTTTCTGACCAGCCCAGCTCCTCTCCCCACACCTGCCAATGATGCCCCTCCTGTCCTCTCTGCTCCCCATCTTCTCCCGTCGGCTTAGGGTGCTTTGTCCTTCATAGCTCCTTCCAGATCCCGACTCTTCTCTTTATTCTCCTCCATCCACCTTCTCCTTTCCTCCAATTCTACTGCATAGGAAGAAACAGGGATCCTGACAACCACCCAAGTGACGCTCTGAGGGTTTCCCAACCTCCTGTCACCCTAACCATCAGCTGCCTTTCTTAGCCAAGCCCTTCGCCAACCTCAGGAAGCCTGAGGCACAAGGCGCAGTGCACTGAGCAAGCAGGAAGCAGGCACAGCAATGGCTTCCTGGCTGTCTGGGTAGCTGACAGGGGATGCAGCACTGCAGGGTGCCTCCCAGGGAGGCTGAGATTCGTCACCTTTGTCATCGTCATCGTCATCATCATCACCTTCTTCTTCTTCTTCATCGTCGTCATAGCAGGTTTTGTTTACCGAGGTCTTACCATTGGTCATATAAATGTGTCATATGTGTTTTCTCATGGACCCCACAGGGCTGGCTCTCTGTATGAGCCCCTACTTTATAAGCGGGGAAACTGAGAACGCTGACACACTTGGCTTTGAACAATTAGAAAGGACAACTAGTTTTGAATCCATAAACCTCTAATGCTGAAGCCCAGGTTCTTAACCATTATAGTCAATCATGCAGTAAAATCACCTTGGTAGTTTGGTGAAAAGGTAGATTTTTATTTTTTTTAATATATAAACAGTATATTTATCTACTTGCAAATTTCACTAAGTAAAAAAATTAGAGTTTGCCATTAAGCTTTTAAAAAAATTTTCCATAAAAAATAGGTTAACACCTACTCTGCCTCAGGATCTTTTGAGATGTTACAAGAGTATGTCCCTATTATAAGAGAACGCCAAAGTAATTTTAAAACTTAAAATGAATTTACTAGTAAATTGCTTAAGGACATATATATGCAAAGGGCTTTGTACTTTGTGTTAAGCAAATTTTAGATTGTTGTTATTTTTAGAGTAGTTCCCAGGTAAGTATCTGACTACTCAAGACCAAAGTAATTGATATTCTATAACTTCTTTTCCTGGTCCTATACTTCAATAAAATAAAGACAATTGTTATTTATGGAAACCAAACAAATAAGAGCAAATAATTTCAAAATGTTTTTATCTATCAAAATCTTCTTAAAATTAAGTTAACATCAACAAGTCTAGGTCCTAAAGTTTCCCCAAAATAACAGTACCAGATTGGCAGAGAGAAGATGAGATTTTTTTGCAGTCTGTCTTATGATGTTTTTAACTCTGAAAATAATCTATTTTTCCATTTGAAAATCTCTACCAAATGGGTCACCATCCAAATACTTTACAGTATTTTTCCCTTCATCAATTATGTAAGCTCTAGATATGTTTTTTTAAAAAGTCTATTAATATTGACCTATTTGGCGAAGCACTATCAGCTGTATGCAAAAGCCATTTTAAACAGCCTCCTTAATAAGGTAGGAGATGAAAAATACTAGTACACAAGTGTGTGTGTGTTTAATTAGCGAAAAGGTAGATTTTTAGACTCTACCCACCAGGAGACTGATGTGGTGCCCGAGGACAGGGCAAAGGAGCAATGTGTCAGGCCCCACAGTGATTCCGAGTGTGCCCGGGCCAGCGCTGGGCCCATCACATTCACGCCAGCCCCTCTGCGCCCAGGTCTGGAGGCCCCCAGATCCAGCTCCTTCCAGGAGGACACTGAGTACGCTAGGCCTTGAGGCCAGGCCACCTTCTCAGATCACAAAAACAAAAGGAGAGGCCAGGTGGAGCGAAGAGCCAAGTCCTGGTCCGTGTGAACTCCTCGCTGCTCTGGGCAGGCTGTGTGAGCTTTAAGCAACCACAGCTGCTGCCGCTCCTGGCATCCCAGATGGCCGGGTGGTGGGCGGCCTGACACCAGGCTGTCTCACAAGGTGCCCCTTCATTTCCTGACATCGTTTATGGATCCTGTGGGAGCAAAGGTGGGAAGGCCGGCCCCTGCCCTGAGAGCCAGCACAGTCCGGAGGGCTGAGATCCAAAAGGGCCTTAACCTCCTGTGGTGCTCTCAGGGCACTCCCTGAGCGTGGGGCCTCCGCCTGCTGGGAAATTGCTGCTGACTTTCCCTGAGCTCCGTGCCAGGTGGGTGTGAAGCAAACAGTCGTTCCCTCACTAAGTACCTGCTGAGCACATGCCTCCTGCGTGTTGACTCCCTTCTAGGCCCAGGCAGAAAATGGCAAAATGTCTGCGTTTATGGTCATTATTCTAGGGACAGACAATACACAAACAAATGCAAGTGTAACATAAAGTCGGCAGCGGTTAGTGTTAGAGGAACAAACAGGACGATAAGGAAATGAGCGTGTGAAGCTAGTCATGGTGGAGAGCGATCTTAGGAGGACAGCGCCTTCACCAGGCCCCGCCCCACCTGTGGGACCCACCTCTATCCAGGAAGCTCCTCTGGCTCCCACCTGCTTCCTGCTGGTCTCCTGGGAAGAGCCCCTCCAGTTCCCCTTCCATCCAGCATCTCCGATGGCCCTAGTCCCACCCTGTCCTCTAAGGGCAGCTGATGCAGCTCAAAGTACCTCTTCACCAGCAGCGACCGCTCATAGGGGCAGTTCTCAGGCTCTGGCCGCAGAGTCAGCCTTTCAGACCCACCGCCAGCAGCCAGCAGCACACACTGTTGGTGCAGGTGGGCTACTAGGCCTCGGGGTGCACAAGCATGACCAGGGGTGTTTGCCCTTAAATGCACACTCCCAGGCCCCACGATTCTGAGTTAGTAAAACGGGGAGCATTCCAAGAATCTGCATGTTCTTACCCACCAGCCGGATAGATGATTAGTGCAGGTGGCCATTGACCACGCCAAGCCGGACACGCCTGGTAGCAGATGCTGGTCAGCAGCAGCCTCTGCACAGAATGCCTCCCCCACCCCATCGGAGGGGCCTGCTGTGAGCGCCGTTAGGGAGGAGGTGCTTCTGACCATCGGCCAGCGCTAGACGCACACTCCTGATTGGATTAGACAGTGGGTGATGGTGACCTCCTAAGGGTACCCCCACTTTTCTTCCACCAGCCTGGTGGTTGGGATGCTGCTCTCCACCTGCTCAGCCTCGGTGACTGCGATGGCTGCTCTGAGTGTTGCATGGACAGGGGCTACCCCCATCACCAGCCCCGTCCCTGCCCCTCACACATGTCCTTTCCTGTGACGATGGAGGGAGAGACGGTTTGAGGAATGAACATCGTGCTTGCCTCCCTGGGTGGGAGGGATGCCAGCACCTCTGATATCCTCCCAGTCCCATCCACAGTGACGCTGCAGGGAGGAGAGGTGCCGGGCGCAGGGAAACGGCGCCTCTTGAGCATCTGTGTGTACCCGACACCGCGCGGTGCCTTGGCACAGAGCACAGCTGGTCTGGTGAACAGCCTTGCAGGGGATAAACCTATTTCCCAGATGAGGAGACTGAGGCTCAGGAGGGAAGGAGCTTGGCCCAAGGAAATGACTAGCCAGGACTCTGGGCAGAGCTGGAATTGCTTCATTCGTCCTACACGGAGTCCATGCTCTTGCGTCTCCCACTCCTGGCAACACCTCACCTTCCCGGCACCCCTCAGCCACCCCATCATGCCTTTTACTCAGGTCTCTTGCTGTGCTGCCACCTGCCATGGGCCAGCGGGGGAAGGGGGTCCCCTGACTCCCAGGGACCTGCTGGGCAGGGCTTTCTCTAGAATGGCGTCTTCTCTTTGGGATTTTGTTTTGCTTTTTCTTCCTGTCTGGGCTACCGACTATAGGAGCTCGTTTTGATTGTTTAGAAAGCACCATGCGGGGACTCTGGGTGATGATTGGTGAGCTTCTGAACCAAATACCAGGTTCCCTGCTGGCGGCCGATTAAGGGGGGATCACAATTTTAAAATCATCTCCAGGGTTCAGGTTACTCTCTACCATCTGCAAGTCACAGCTTGATGGTTTGGGGAGGCTTTCTGTCTTGGGGCTCCTGGAGCTTCTGCAGAGCCCGTGGGGGGAGATGCTAGCGTCCTGGGGTGACATGTCTGAACCTGGGTCAGCCCCCTGCCTATTGGAGTGTGGAAGGCAGTAGTACCGTTTCCATTTCTCTAGCTCCGTCCTCCACGTCTGCCTGTGTGAGATCCCATCTCCATCCGTTGCTCCCCTGCCCCCGACCAGATGTCCTGGACAGTATAGGAACAGCACCACCCCCTTCTGATTTGGAAGAAACCACATAGAAGGAGGAGAGGAAAACAGAAGTCCAGCTTCAGAGGGCCCGTTTCCTTTGTTTAACTTGGTCTAAAGCTCAGAGCTTCTGAGCAGCCCCAGGCGACTCCGTCAGGGCTGCGATGAGATGAGCGCATCTTCCATCTGAGGATCTGAAACGGTCTAATGGGCCCAGTAAGCTTTGGGGAGAGGGAAGGCAAAAGAAGGCGGGTCTGGCATCCCCGCTACAGAAGCAGATCTAGGCTCTTCCTTGGCCGCTGTGTACACACGGGCATGGGAACTGCCTTTCTCCAT